GAGTAACATAGTGAGATCCTGTATCTACAAAAAAAAAAAAAAAAAATTAGTCAGGTGTAGTGGTGTGTACATGTAGTACCAGCTATTCAGTCACCCAGGCTGGAGTGCAGTGGCATACTCATGGCCACCGCAACCTCAACCCGCTGGCTCAGGCGATCCTTCCACCTCAGCCTTCCAAGTAGCTGAAACTACAGGTATGCACCATCACGCCTGGCTAATTTTTTTATTTATTGTAGAGATGAAGTCTCACCAAGTTGCCCAGGTTGGTCTTGAACCCGTGGGCTGAGGCAATCCTCTCACCTTGGTCTCCCAAAGTGCTGGGATTATAGGTGTGAGCCACTGCACCTGGCCAGTTTATTTTATTTTATTTATTTGAGTTGGAGTCTCACTCCATTGCCCAGACTGGAGTGCAGTGGCATGCTCCCAGCCACCACAGCCTCGACCTGCTAGGCTCTGGCGATCCTTCCGCCTTAGCCTTCCAAGTAGCTGGAACTACAGGTGTGCACTACCATGCCCAGCTAATTTTTTGATTTATTATAGAGATGATGTCTTGCCAAGTTGCCCAGGTGGGTCTTGAACCCACGGGCTCATGCAATCCACTCACCTCAGCCTCCCAAAGCACAGGATTATAGGCTGAGCCACCAAACCTGGCTTGGTTTTTATTTTTTAGAGACAGCATCTTGCTCTATTGCCCAGGGTAGTCTTGAACTTCTGGTCTCAAGTGATCTTCCCATCTTGTCCTCCTAAAGTGCTGGGATTACGGACATGAACCACTGTAACTGGCCTAAAAGTTTTAACAAACAAAGTTTATTTAAAATGCCATTAAGGTGTGTGTGTGTGTGTGTGTGTGTGTGTGTGTGTATTTTCTATTCTTTTTTTTTTTTTTGAGTTGGAGTTTCACTCCGTCACCCTGGCTGGAGTCCAATGGCATGCTCATGGTCACCCCAGCATCAACTTGCTGTGCTCTAGCAATCCTTCTGCTTCAGCCTACCAAGTAGCCAGAACTATAGGCGTGTGCTACTGCCTGGCTAATTTTTTGATTCATTGTAGAGATGAGGTCTCACCATGTTGCCCAGGCTGGTCATGAACCCGTGGACTCAGGCAGTTCTCTCACCTTGGCCTCCTAAAGTGCTGGGATTACAGGCTTGAGCCACCACACGCAGCCATGAATTTTCTTAAGAGTTGTAGTCTTACTCTGCTGTCCAGGATGGAGTGCAGTGACACACTCATTGCTCACTGCAGCCTCTAACTTCTGGGCTCAAATCTTTTAATTTACTAGTTTATTTATTTTTTTTTACTGTTTTCCTTTAAATGGACTATTCATTTTCCTTAAATGTCCCAATACCCAAGGTCACCAGAGGTAATTATTTGCTCACATGTATATAAAGCCTATCTTTAGTCACTTCAAATTAGGGTGGCCAGTAATTGCAGTTTGCTCTGGATATTTCATTTTAAAACTGAAACTCTCATGTCCTAGAAAACCCCAGTCCTAGGAAAGTCTGCATGGTTGATCATTCTGCTTCAAATATAAATTCTAATGCCTATGCATGAGGTTGACTTCAAGTCTGTAAATCAGAAAATTGAATAAATTCATAAAACATGGTCATGTTATAATCATTAACTGTACCTGTTGTTAACCACTTACAATATAAATTAACATGTAGTGAACTCCTTATTTTATGTTTTTCCTTTTCCTTTTCCCTCTGACTTTGTCTTTCATACTTGATAAAAATTAAGTGTGATTTTAGGTGTATGAGAAGCAGCCTGTTTTGTCTGCTTCTCTGTAGTAGTTAAAAAGGCAAAACCTTTGCTTTAATAAAAGTTCTCTGGATAGTTTCTGAGACTTAGAGAACTAGAGGGCGAGATGGGATCTGTCCTGGGGTCCTGTGCAGGCCTGGTGAGGAAGGGCTGAGGGGAGATACCTGCAAGAGCGCAGAAAGGAGCAGGAACCTGGTACGTCACTCTCTTGAGTAAAATGTGATGTTTAAGGCCTTAAAAGGCTGCTTCTGAGCAATGATCCCTGCTTCCTTGTATAATGTCCTCCCCTTGAGTGTGACTTGCTCCTAATTCTCAATGGTGACGGGATATCACTTTTGTGATGAGAGTATGTAAGAATGTATTTACTTGCTGTTAGTAGACTCTATTGCCTTCTTGGCCTGCATGCTTAGATGATTGTGGGGAATCCGGCATGGTAAGTAATTGTGGGTGGCCTCTAGTTTTTTGTTTTTTGTTTTTTTGAGTTGGAGGCTCTGTTGCCCAGACCTGGAGTGCAGTGGCCGCTCCTAGCCACCGCAGCCTCGATCTGCTGGGCTCCGGCGATCCTTCCGCCTCAGCCTTCCGAGTAGCCGGAATTACAGGCGTGCGCTACCACGCCCGGCTAATTTTTTGATTTATTGTAGAGATGAGGTCTCGCCTGCCCAGGGCGGGTCTCGAACCTGCGGGCTCAGGCAATCCACTCACCTCAGCCTCCCAAAGGCGCGGGATTACAGGCTGAGCCACCGAGCCCAGCTGCCTCTAGTTTTTGAAGGCAGCTTCTGACCTATAGCCAGAAAAATAGTGAAGCCCTTAGTCTTTTTTTTTTTTTTTTTTGAGTGTAGGTCTCACTCTGTCACTCAGGCTGGAGTGTAGAAGCATGCTCATGGCTCACCAACAGCCTCAAACTCCTGGGCTCAGGTGATCCTTCTGCCTCAGCCTCCCAAGTCCCCTCCTGGGATTACAGGCACATGACATCATGCTCAGCTAATTTTTTGATATTTTTTTATAGAGATGAGGTCTTGTTATGTTGCCAAGACTGGTCTTGAACTCCTTGGCTCAAGCAATCCTTCCATCTTGGCCTCCCAAAGTGCTGGGATTACAGGCATGAGCCACTGCACCTAGTTTTCCTTAATCTCACAACCACAAGAAGTTAAATTCTGAGTGAGCTTGGAAGCAGAACTTTCCCTATTAGAGCCTCAGATGAGACCACAGCCCTAAGCAACATCTTGATTGCAGCCTTGTGAAACCCAAAGCAGAGGACTCATCTAAACCATGCAAGCCAAGAAGGCAATAAAGTCTGTTAACAACAAGTACTTAAAACTGGAAATCTCCTGTCCTAGAAAACACCAGTCCTGGGAAAGCCTGCATTAGTCATTGTACTTCAAATATAAATTCTAACCCCTATGTATGAGTTGACTTCAAGTCTGTGAATTATGTATTGGAAAACAGAATAAATTCATAAAACATGGTCATGCTATAGTTAATTAATTGTACTTGTGGTTAACCACTTAGCTCCTGACCTACAGAAACTATGACATAACTGTTTTGGATTTTTTTGAGTTGTAGTCTCACTCTGTCGCCCAGACTGGAGTGCAGTGGCACGCTCCCGGCCACTGCAGCCTCAACCTGCTGGGCTCTGGCAATCCTTCCGTCTCAGTCTTCCAAGTAGCTGGAACTATAGGCGCGCACTACCACACTTGGCTAATTTTTGATTTATTGTAGAGATGAGGTCTCGCCAAGTTGCCTGGGTGGGTCTTGAACTCACAGGCTCAGGCAATCCACTCACCTTGGTCTCCCAAAGTGCTGGGATTACAGGCTGAGCCACCAAGCCCGGCCTGTTTTGTTTTTAAATTTGGAGTCTCACTCTTGCCGCCTAGGCTGGAGTGCAGTGTGGCACGCTCATGGTCACCACAGCCTCGACTTGCTGAGCTTAGGTGATCCCTCTGCCTCAGTAGCTGAAACTACAGATGCACGCCACCACACCTGGCTAGTTTGTGCGTGTGTGGATTTATTTTAGACATGAGGTCTCACCAAGTTGCCAAGGCTGGTCTCGAACCCCCAGGCTCAGGCAATCCTCTTGCCTTGGCCTCCCAAAGTGCTGGGATTACAGACTGAGCCACCATGCCCGGCCAAGTGTTGTTATTTTAAGCCACAAAATTTGTGGTAACATCTATTGGCAGGAATAGCTACTAATGCAGAGATGAATAATTTTGTCACAGATGGATTAAAAGTGAGAAATGGAAATTTTATTTACTTAATTACTTTGCATACCAATTATACACGGGGAATTTTACTATCTACTGGAAAGGGTACAGTAACAAAAGCGGTCTACAATATTTTATAATGTTGAGTATAACTCTGTATCCAAAATGCAATCTCAGGAGCCATAAAGGTAATTCATACTTGTTGGGAAGCCACAACAGACCTGCAGTGGGTTGGCAGCCTGCAGGGTTCTGCCAGGGCCTTTGTATTCTGAGCCAGGTGGTTGCCTTGATTTCCAGCAGAGGAGAGTGGGAGGATGATGGAGATAACAGGAGCTCCTGTGTTCATGGTCTGGACCCCCTTAGGCAGAGGAGTTAATGGCAAAAGCAAAAGGAAATTTAGAGACTTTGTCACCCGCACTTTTCCACGAGTGTCTTTTTCCTAATAAATTCTTGAATTATACTTTGCATTCGTTCTGAAATTCTTTTCTGTGGTGCAGAAATGCGTTCTCGTTCCCATAAGTGTGACACTGCACAAATGAACCCACAGACAGGGAGGGATAAAGCTCAGGTTTTTAACGTGGGTGCGTGGATCGCCTGGGGAAGTGTCTGTGAAGCTCGGAAGCTACAAGAACGTTCCCATGAGGAGCTTCTCATCCTTCACCAACTTTTCTGAGCCTGGACTCCAAAAGGCTATAGTGTACTGGCACAAAGAGAAAATCAGCAACCCCCCAATACCACCCCCAGCCTGGAGGTACATACCTCCAGGTGGGGTTAGGGGGTGGAAGTGAAAAGTCAGAAAAAGCTAACGCAGGTTAGGAGACATTTCAGGCCTCTAGTGACACGTTCTGGATGCCAGGAGGGTCCTGTCACCATATGGACCCTCGTTGAGACGGTCCTGCTTTAGGGTCGGTTCAGTAGTGAAAGAAAAGGCAGTCTCAGACTAGTCCGGCTCGGCGCGGTTTCACCGCAACTGCGCAGGCGCCGGGCCGCTGGGACTCTGCGCATCTTCCGCGCCGCCCCGCCTCAGCGCAAGGCAGGACGGGAAAGCCAAGATGGATGCGTCCATTTGAACGTCTCGCACGCCTGCCAGCCTGCCGGCCTGCCTTCAGTAGTCGCGCCTATTGCTGCTACCCGTTCTTCCTCCGGAATAAGGGAGGGAGAGGGGATGAGAAGCTGCCGCAGCGGAGGAGTCACCGTCACCGACCCCGCTGCTGCCCTCGGGCCTCCTCGGCCCCCGCGCCTCCGGGGAGCAGCCGGGGCTCGCCGCGCCTGACGCGTCCCGAGTTACACAGGTGCGGGGGGCCTGGGCCCGCAGCGCCCGGTGCTCCGTAGTGCGCCGGGTGACCTTTGCACCCGCTCCGAGGCCGACCTGTCCTCGGTGGGCTCCTGGCCAGAGAGCTGGAACTCCCGGCGGGCCTTGGGCGTTCCCCGATGCTGCGGGGACTCCCGGCCTAGGGGTTGGGGTGCGCCTCGCCGCTCACTCCTCGCCGACCTCTTTCCTGAGTTAGACCCGGCGTTCCTGTGCGGCCTCCGCTTCTAGATTGGCCCTCAACTACCTCCGTGTGCTGGTTTTGGGATGCTCAGGCGCTAAGCTTGTTTTTTTGTTTTTTGTTTTTTTTTTTAGTTGCAGTCTCACTCTGTCACCCACCGCAGCCTCGACCTGCTGGGCTCTAGCGATCCTTCCTCCTCAGTCTTCCAAGTAGCTGGAACTACAGGCGTGCGCTACCACGCCCGACTAATTTTTGATTTTGTTGTGGAGATGCGGTCTCGCCAAGTTGCCCAGGCGGATCTCGAACCCGCGGGCTCAGGCAATCCACTCACCTCAGCCTCCCAAAGCGCTGGGATTACAGGCTGAGCCACCGAGGCCGGCTGCTAAGCTTGTTTTCACCGCTCTCTAAAAAGGCTGGGAAAGCTTTGCCTTTTGTCGAGACTCAACTCAAGGTTTCTTCTGTTTGCATTTGGGACCTCTTTTTCAGGCAGGGTCGTTTTTGTTTCTAGTAATCAGTGCCAATATTTTGCTTTATAGCATATCAATTTAATAGTACTTTTATGTGTCGCTCTTTAAGTTGCCCTTAAGTAAAAACATTTTTGTAAAAGTTTAGAGGTACTGTAAAATTATTAAATATATAGCCTTGATCAGTACAAAATGACAGTGTAATTGCAAAAATTATTTTAAAATAAATATGTAGCTTTCCATCTAAATTATAATAACATAGCCGGGCTTGGTGGCTCAGCCTGTAATCCCGCGCCTTTGGGAGGCTGAGGTGAGTGGATTGCCTGAGCCCG